AGGTAATATTATTCAGGGCAACCAAGTAATATTATTCAGGGCAACCAGGTAATATTATTCACAGCAACGGAGTAATATTCAGGGCAACCAGGTAATATTATTCAGGGCAACCAGGTAATATTATTCAGGGCAACCAGGTAATATTATTCACAGCAACTAGGTAATACTATTCACAGTAACCAGGTAATATTATTTGCAGCAACCAGGTTGTCAGGGCAACCAGGTAATATTTTTCGGTGGAACCAGGTAATATTATCCAGTGAGTGAGTGAGTCCATAGTCATTCAGTTGAATCGGATTTTGAGTACCATAGAAAGAAATCCCATTTTTTGTATTTATTTAGAACTGACCGTCAATGGATCGACCTGTCTTTCTGCCTGGCTCAACTTTCCTACAACGAACGTTCTTTGCGGAAACTACAAGAAAACTTTGCATGTTTCCAAGGCACGCTCTCGAATGACGATGTCTTCGGGTTCTTTAGTACAATCATGGGAAAATGCAAGAAAATGGCTAAACCTGAAATAAAGGTATGGTCTTGGCTAAAGATTATAATGTGGGTTTCACGAAGGAACCCTTTGGCGTTATCTTCCATGGGTCGGTTGTACGAAGGCCGGATATCTCCACCGGATAGAAATTTTTCAAGCTTTAGAGAATTGTCTATTGATTTCTATTACACAGATTCGTAATTTTATCTATGGATTCACTGCGTAATGCCTTAGTGAAACCCAATAATTGTTTGTTTTCAACCTATGCATGGGCACGCTAAAACCACTATCTGTTATACTGTAACAGATCATATACTCAGAAACATAACGGTCATGATTTGGAACAGTTACTATTTTTAGACTTTTAGGGTTGGGATTAGGGTTTGGATGAAGGAAAGGGTTAGGATTAAGATTAGAGTTGGGTTAAAATACAAAAGAATACAAAATTACAAAAGTTTAAAAATAGTAACTGTTCCTAAAACGTGACAGGCATACTCAGAAATGTTACAATTGTATTTCTAACGTAGGTGGTTGTAGAAGAACTGGAGTTACGTATCACGACGTGTCACGAGAAAGGTGTCGAAGAGGAAGCGGGTTACGAGCGTGCGAATCAAGCTTCGGCAGCTGCTCGGGTCCTAGTCGGAAAAGTGGCGAATACTCCAGCAAATAGTAAGTCGACATGTTTATGTACTGTATGTGTGTAACTTAGCAATTGTACTTAGTGATTGCGATGTATACAGCTTTGGTTAGGTTATAATAGATCCTTATCACGCTTTATTGAGTCGAGAGCAGGTTAACGTTAGAAAGTACGGATTTTTGAACTCTTTCCAACGTATCCATTTTAACAATTTTACAGAGAAGACACGAAGTACCAGGGGTCGGACTCCGGCGTCGCGTCGTCGTCGGAAAAACGATTCGGAATCCGAAGTTGTCCCGAAACCCCAGACTGGCAAGAAGTCGACCCGTAAGAGCAGAAAGAAAGTTATCGAATTCGATAGCGATGACGAGGAGATGATGCAAGGAACCTGGGACGAGGCGTTTGAGGCGGAAAAGGAAAATGTGGAAGTTTGAAAGGAAATGTGCAACTTGGCTGGTGGAAGTGCGCAGATGAAGATTCTTTTATTGTCTTTATTCTTTCATATTTTTTGTCTTATTATTTTTTGTTATTTATACTTTCTGTATAAATGGTACTTGTCGTATATAAAGACGGTCGCCAAGCATATAAAGCTTTTTTATGTGAATACCGTATTCCCTGTATAACTGTATTTAGCCACCTACTCATTTTCAAATGTATTGGGACACATGCCCCAACTACCTATGTTATTTTGACAAAACGTCGTTCCCACCGCTTTCATTTCAATGTTGGGTCTCAGTTACCATCTATACATTGGTTTGTACTGATATGTATATATTGATAAAATATATTAAATAGAACATATTCGGGCTCTGTGCCATCACCTGTTGTCTCGTATTCTAAAGGCATGATCAATACTGTATTATAAGTGACTATATTGATAATACAAAGAAACTCGTATATTGGTATTCATTCCAACTTGCAAAGTTAAATCTCTAAGGAGCTTTATGGTTGTCTAATAGATATAATATTTAACCTTCAATTAAATAGTTTGGAAAACACAATACAAGGGCTCTTTTGGAATGCAAAAGTGTTTTGTTCTGTTTTAATTTCTTCTTTAACGTCCAGAATGAATTTTTACAGTGAAAATGACAAATTCATGACATGAGTTTGTCATTTGCATGAATCTTTTTACATTTTAAAAAAACCTGAGTATTATCGGGAGAATTAAAATGAGTAAATGAATGCATCCATAGGCATATGCAGTAACTCAAATTATAAAATAACATGTACATAACGCGTATTCTGATTGGTCGAAACCCGTGTTTGGATCAGGCCATCCAAACACGGAAGACTATCGTGTTGTTGTTATTTTATAAAACAATTACTTTATGGTTTCCGTGTTTGGATGGAATGATCCAAACACTTGGGAATGTTGCTCGAGTTAAGAAAAGCGGGCAAAATCACTCGCCTTCGGCTCGTGATTTCGCTCGCTTTTCTTAACCCTCGCAACATTCCCGCGTGTTTGGATCAGGCCATCCAAACACGGAAACCATAAAGTAATTGTATAATATCAAAATTAGTAAGCAAAATTACCTTAAATTAATGAGAAAATTTATTTACTCAGTTTTTTGTGTAAAGTAAATCCTTACTCAAATGAATGAAAAGTTATAAGGATTAACCATGCATATAGGAAACTCTATCAGTTCTATAGCTTGTTCTCTCTAGATATCCAGTACAAGCTAGAGGAAAGCGGTGTACTTGGAAAAATCTTGCCCTGTCTTGTAGTAGAGTTGTGTAGTGGAACTAATAGCACTCTTCTCACATACGATTGAGTCGAAATCATAATTAGAAAAGTTAACTATAGAGGAATCACTATTGCTGACCTATATAGTATACAGCTAATTCAAAAAAGGTTGTCCTTTGCAAACCTTAAACTCTAAGCGTGCAAAGCATAATGGGAGCATTATTTTAGAAATCATACATGGGGCCCATTTCTTAGAAACATGCATGTAAATATCTCCTTACGAGAACAATTCATTCATAAATAGCTGCAAGATTCAACTACTATATTATAAGCTTGAAACGTGTGCTTCCAAGGTTTGCAAAGGACAACTTTTTTTGAATTGGCTGTATATAGTAAATAAAATAACAGATGGTCACAACTCGAAGTAAACTATAAGATTATGTATAATTATAATAAATTTTCGACTGAATGTCACAGTCTTCTTCAAAATCTAAAATTACAAACTGTAAAACATACAAATTGTTTGTAACTTTAGTTGAGTTGGGACATCGTAGCATATAGACGGTAGAGCATCGTCGTAGAAATGCGAAGGTCGGGGGTTCGTTTTCCAGCCGTGATATGAGCCGATATATATATATATATATATATATATATATATATATATATATATATATATATATATATATATATATAATTATATGTGTATATATACCAACACCAAAGCGAATTTTTTTTCTGACATTTTTGCTTGATATTTAACTTGATGCTTCGTCAGTGAAGTGTTTCGAAGACAAAGTATGTATTGAATTCGTGTCATGTTCGTGCAGTAAACTCTCTGGTAACGTCATCAGGCATTATAGGACAAAATGAATCAAGTGAGGAAGACATATTGAAATTTTAAAACGAGTAAAAAGCGTCCATATACAAATCTGCCTGACAAAGGAAAAGGTCGACTTCGCTCAAAAACGACAAAATGAATCAAATAATCTTTTACAGGTATATATAGTATATAGACACAAACCACGACAACTTATACTAAACCCTTGCATCCATAACTCTCATTAGAAAAACGATTAATATCTATTATATTCTCTTATACTAGTCATTAGCAAGTTTTAAAAGTACCGTTTTTAGTTTATATACACTGTACATGGATTATATATATTGTATTGTGATTTGCTTAATGAACCGTTTAGAGTGCACATGACGTACCCGCCGTAATTACAAAATGAAGTGTTAACATTCATCATGCAACTTAAATGAAGCAGAAATGCCAAAAAATTATACTTTTCGGCTTGGAATTAAGAGTGACAAATGTCCGTCTTTTTCGCCCTAGCTTATGCTAGCCTAAGAACCTTATATTTGTTCTCATGACGAAACTAATATGTCACACACTTCATTGAATTTCTTTATAGCTTTGTTTTGTCCTTTGTCTTACACAAGTAAATAATTCTTAATTTAATACCGAGCTTAATACAATAATTTTTTCTGATATTTTAGTTTTCACGAAGTAAACTGTGGAGGAAGATTAATTTAAAACTACAAACTCAATCGTGTGGGCAGAACAGCTGTATTGGTTTGATAGGAAGTATGAGCCTACTCGCCCTCAAAGACGTATAATTCTGTTTTCATATCAGACGAAACACCTCCGCAATATGCAAATTCGCTTCAGCTTAAATCGACGAAATCTACATATTCATATATCATTACAAACCAAAACAGCTATCAGACGTGTGTGTGTTCTGTATTAGTCGTTTGTCTATAATGGCTTTTGGATCAAGAGGTCAATCTTCACTCGTTCCTTAAGCTTTAAAAGAACACCGAATTTAAGGAAACATCGACGATATATCATCTTTTAAACTCGCTCCCTGGATTTGGTGAAGAATTCAACTTGTATACAAGTGTTTATCAGGAAAAGTGTGCAGTAAGGAACTCATTTGCATCGCTTGAACGGGAATTCTCGTCGGCCAGCTTCAGGCTAGAAAGAACAAGTTTATTCAAGATATTAGCGCCTTTGGACTTCACTTCCTTCGAAAAACGCTGTTCGTAACTTCAGTATTTTCGAAGGCAGGGATCTATATACTGTGCTAACCAGCGAAGCCAAAGGAGGCGACCGAAATCAAATTTAATTTCAGCGAATTTATTGCTGAGACGCCAGGGGAGCTATTAAAGGATACAAAATATATAATTTTGATCGCCTATCAGTGGCCTGAATTCGCCGTTAAGAATTTGAAAGTGAAGATTTTGTTCTGGTAAAAGGTCTTGGAGTCCCAAGACAACTTATAGATAGTACAAAAATACAAATTTAACTCGTCGATTAAAGTATATACATATTGGCTTGATAACCGCCGTATAATTTTCAACGGGCCAACATCGTAATTATATCGAAAGTTGAGAATAACGTTTTCCACTCAAATTAAAGACGAAGCTCAATATTCTTTGGAACTAAGTATAGTCAAAATTTAGCAGTGAAAATTTAGGAAACAAAGCAGTCGAAATTTAGGAAAGAATCCTGAAAAATTAATACGTTAAGATAATCGGAGCAGTTTCGAAGTGTATACGAGAACAACTCGGGTTCGTTGGCTATAAAAATCCAAATCATTTTAGAGTTAACAAATTTATATTGTGGTTTAAACAACATTGTTATTCCAAATCATTTCTGAAGAAGCAATTTGGGTGGATTGAATAAGAAGATATTATTTTAATCACACGTATACACTGTCTTGCGAATACAAAAGCCTTTATAACTTCCTATTGCAGGTTGTTTTTATTTTGGGACTAAATTAGACGTAATTGTACTTTCTTCAGAGCACAAAGGGGAACTTATCCTTCTGAAGACTTACAATTGAACTAGATCGTCAAAGATAAGTCGAATATTTGTTCGTATTCTAACGGTTTCAACTGCCAATAGGCAGAATAGGAGAAAGTGGTTGGGAATAGACATTTCAACTATCGTGACAATATTATTATAAGGCACTGTTCCTATTTTCCGTAACTGTTTGATAGGCAGAAACTATAGAAACGTTTCTTTCATCAGACTACAATTTACTCAATCTGTTCAGAGGATCGATCAGCGATTATTGCTGCTGTAGAAAGGTGTTTATTTGAAAAGGCAGAAAGATCAAATCTATTATTGGAAACTTGTTTTAGACCAAATAATTCTCGATCAAAGAAATCGATTGAACTGCTGTTCATGTTCTAACTGAAGGAAGGAATACCATACAACATATTAATCTTCAAAGTCAAAGAAATCAACTAAATATCGACACTTCCTCAGACAATTTATCAATTCAATAAACATCTGTCACCCGTTGAGCAGTTTCCAAATATACAAAAATGAGTTTGGCAAAGTTTTATTCCATGTTGATCCGTACCAAAGATGTTACGACGAAGGTCACCGAATCAGCGCTACACCGGTGCCTAAATGTATTCGATCTAACATTTCTCGGAGTCGGCGCAACTGTTGGTGCGGGCTTGTACGTTGTTACGGGCCAAGTTGCGAAGGAAATGGCCGGTCCAGGAATCGTGTTGTCGTTCCTGATCGCCGCTGTAGCTTCAATGTTGGCTGGGTTATGCTATGCGGAGTTCGGTTGCCGGGTTTCGAAAGCAGGGTCCGCCTATGTCTACACATACGCAACGCTTGGGGAGTTCTGGGGGTTTGTGATTGGCTGGAATATGATTCTCGAATATATCATTGGCAATGCATCGCTGGCTCGTGGACTTAGCGACTACATAGATTCAATCTTTGGTGGAGCAATAAAGGATTTCTTCATTACAAATATCGGTTTGTATTTTGTATTTAAGAAATGGAAAACATTTTCCGTGTTTCTATACTGTGTATAAAAACACGCGTGGGTGTTTGGAAGAACGAGAATTAATCAGTGGGAAACGAGTCCAAAGGGCGAGTTTTTCCACGTTATTTCGAGTCCACTTAAACTATCACAAGTGTTCATATAAATGTATAGAAACACAGAAAAAAATGTTTTCTATTTATTTTATAATACTGAACTTAAGAAACGTTTTCATAGTAATTTTTATATCGATTAATTTACAAATTCTCATTACCTCAGTATAAAATCCACTCGATCGGTTGCCCGGCAAAATAAACATAGATTCCGAACATATAAGTGCCAATTAATGTTGCGAGAATCCTAAGGATTCACGCTCCCCAGGCGGTTCACGCTCCCCTGCAGGATCACTCAAACAATATTTCTCGAAATATAGCTGAATTCATATTAGAAGACGGATTTCCGTCTAAAGGCTGATTTCCACTGTTGCGTTTTTCATACGTACGTATACGCACGTAAAACTTCGTTTAAATGTTACTTATGAAATAACCAAATAGATAAAGCAACAGAATTTAGTGTTCCGCAAGTTTTAGCTAGTATGCATTTGTTAACTTATTCATAAAATATTTAAAACTAATAGAAGGATTCAAAGTTTTACGTGCGTGTACGTTCGTACGAAAAACGAAACAGTGGAAATCAGCCTTAAGACGGGAAACTCGTGTGACGGATTTCCGTCTGATATGAATACGAAACGAAAACCATCGGACGGATAAACCCGAAAAAATAGGAGAGCCTCCATCCCAGTCTCTTTTGAACGTTACGAGCAGAAACCCGTCTCGATTTATTCGTCTGATATAAATTTAAGTTTCCCATCTAAGACGAGAAACTCGTCTAACTTTCCCGTCGTGGCAGACGGGAAAGTTAGACGGAAAAGTTGAGACGGAAAACCCGTCGTTAACCGAATTTATATCAAGATGAGTTTCTCGTCTTATAGACGAGTTTCCAATCCGGCAGACGGAAATCCGTCTTTTAATATGAATCCAGCTATTCTGAGGCGAACTTTGAAAGAAGAATCAGAATCACAAAAAAGGTCATTTTTATCTTTCCCGATTCCAACCTTTCACAAAAACAGCTGGTCTTGAAATAATTGGGAAGCAGAGTCTCTCTTCCTGCCCGGCCCTCCCCTAATTTTTAGCTCTGTTTGAACATCATATGTTATTATGTTTGATAATAATGTTGACTGACGTTGCATAGATCACGTTTGACTGTATTCGAAATTTGCATCTAAGATATAGATCGAGGTCGGTTTAGGCCGCGATGCATTTTATTTTTTTTTATGGATGCAAACAAGTCGATGAGTTACGAATGTTTAGATGGGGTTACATCATGGGTTACATATACTCAGAACATTCATAGCCTATCTCTCGTGCACATCCATCAGAAAACTAAAATCGCACTAGAAATTGCAGCAAAAATTTGCAAGTGTTAATGGGCCTTAACGATACGCGTGACTGATTGATTTCCATTGTAACCATGGATATTTAAGTCTTTTGAACTTTGAACAACCTTGAACGTAATTTGAAGACGCATCTCAAAACAGTCCAACATACGGTAGTTGGAACGATAATGCTAGACATTCTGTATCATTGCCGGCAATTACTAATTATTATATAATAACGTTAATTCAAGCGCTTTCATTGATCGTGAGCCATGATCTATTAGAGGACTAGCCTGCGTTGGTTAGCCAATAGCATTCCCTTACCTGTGCAGATCATATATACGCGTGATATTTGTAAAATTTCGACTTTCAAATTTCCAAATGTTTGGGTGGTTAAAAAGTAAGCTATTTACCTGTTTAATTCGGGGGTTTTCCTTTTATTACAGGAAACAAATAGATAAGATTTTACCGTTGTCTGTTCAGTCAGTTATAGATGATACACAGTACATCATAATGTAAGGCCAAATAAAAAACAAACTTGGTTAGCGTCACAGCCCGCCTCTCGATTTCTGCCGCCTCTGAATATTTTTTTTATGTAAATCTCTTCGTTTTACAGCTTAAAACAGTTTAATATTTGAAATTTTTCTCGTGCTCAGACCTTCGGCGCTACTATACCGATTGATAGGAGCGCGTGGGCTTGGGAACAAGGTTCTTATAGCAAAATGGCGGCCTTCGCAACATCAGTACAAAAAACATCACCGATATGGTGGAAAAAAATACTATTAAAAAATTTTAAAAACGAGTAAAAATAAGAAAAAAACACCTTCCAGCCTTTGAAAATTTGTGAGAGTGTGACGCTAACCAAGTATTTTTTTTTTTGCCTAACTATAACATAATAATGGGAACCACTCAAGGAATAAAGAGTGAAAGCAAAGGCAAAAATAATGTTTAAAACGCTCAATAACATGGGACCAAATTGTCTCAAAGAATTACTTACTTTCAAAAAAGAAATATTAAACCACAGTCGTCGTATAACAGTACAGCTCAAATACCATACGCAATTTGCCCAAGCCGAAATACAAACAATATGAAAAGAGTTTCATGTATGATGGAGCTTCCATATGGAACTCTCTGCCAAAAATATAAGAGAAAGTAATTCGCTCTCTTATATTTAAAAGAAAAATCCTACCTATACCTTATAAATAAAACCACATCATTATATTGTAAATAGCAAACTTATTGTATATATTTTCCTGTGTTGGTGCAATGTACTCAGGTGAATAAGATGCTTGTGATGTTACTAGCTCTGAGTGTATTATCCACACCGGGCAGGCTTGAAAAATATGCCTGGCCACGGTGGGAATCGAACCTACGACTTTTGGAATACTAGCCCAATGCTCTGCCAACTGAGCTACGCGGTCAGGTCGGTTCGAGTAACGATATCGAAGGAACTAGACTCAGTTCCGAAATATTACATACTCGAACCGACCTGACCGCGTAGCTCAGTTGGCAGAGCATTGGGCTAGTATTCCAAAGGTCGTAGGTTCGATTCCCACCGTGGCCAGGCATATTTTCAAGCCTGCCCGGTGTGGATAATACACTCAGAGTAACATCACAAGCATCTTATTGTATATATTTTATATTCTGCATGTTAGTATACTTCCTTATTATTTTATTTGTAACAATGTGTTAATGTTTCTACACGCCCATTGAGGAAACCAGCTTTAGCTGACAATGTTAGCGTGGTAGTAATAAAGTTTATCATCATAATGTGGGATCGGAAGAACAAAAAAGTGACCCACTCGTCTCGGCGGCTCGTGAGCTACTTTTTTGTTCTTTCCACAAAATGATGTCATACTGTGTATATAATTGAACAGACATCGGCAAAATCTTATCTATTTTTTAATTGGATGGTTGATCGTAGTATATCAAGAATTATCAAGCCATATTGGCTGAGCCAGATAAAAACTCAATTAAGCCCTCAATTATTTGATAATTCTCGATATAGTTCGAAAACCGAATAGACCTTTCCCCTTTTGAGTGAAATTTTGATCTAGACAAGTCTGGACAAAAATTTCATCACAGCTTGAAAGAGTATCACGAAATTATTAATATTCCGAAGTTTTTCAGTAATTTTGTGTTACAAATGGGAAATTGGTAATCAGATGATCAAACTGATTATCAATTTCCCGTTTGTAATGCAAAATGACTGAAAAACGGCAAACTTCACAAGGCCATATTATCCGCATTTTACAACATTTCGCAACGAAACGTCGGAATATTACTAATTTTGTGATGCTCTTTCAAGCTGTGATGAAATTTTTGTCCAGGCATATCTAGATCAAAATTTCACTCATATAAGGGGAAAGGTCTATTCAATAATTATTTTATTACACGTATATTATAACAAAAAACAAAATTGTTTGAGTGAAGTAGTTTTAGGTGTCCTAGGTAAGGGCTTCTTTTTTCTTGAGTTTCGCTTATCTTTTTCTTTTCAAGATTTGTGGCTCGTTTAGTCCTTTCCGCTTCTTTTTCGTCTATAATAGTCTTTTTCATCAGTAACCATGGCGAGTCTTGTCATGACCGAGGGGCAAATCACTCCAAAAGTTTGTAAAAGTTCCAAAAATTAACAATTCTAAAATTTATACGTACATCTAAAAGAATACTATGGAACTTGCATTATACCTACCTAAACCTACCTATGTATTTAGTAAAAGTAATTTATCCTTAATAAATATGGATTCTGACGACTGCTTTGGAACGAATATTTCTAACAAATGTTTTTTATATCTATTCGGAAAAATATAATTGCGTTTTAATACATAGTTTCACCAGAACATTGAAAGTAATAAGAAAATATTGTTTTACTTCCTACAAATCGTCTAATCATAAAATATCCGGACTTTCGAAAGTCCAAAATTCTCCTGCACTTTCTGGAGTGATTTGAGCATGCCTCTCGGTCATAAACTTATTTTTTCTTTGCATACGTAAACATGCATGTTGGCTTGGCGATTATTTTCTGTAGAACATGTAGAGAACTATTATCTGCAAAAGTGACGTCATAATTCCACGATATCAGTATTTTATTTGTTGTTCATTTCGCATTTTCATTCCTGATGTTAACGTCTTCCTCTTTTCAGGATCATGGAAAGTCGATGGCATCGGTTCCTACCCTGATTTTCTGGCAATGCTAATGCCACTCCTTATGATGGCTATAGTGTGTATGGGTGCTCAACACTCGACCGTATTCAACAAGACCGTCACCGCCATCAACTTAGCCGTTGTCGTTTTCATTGTCGGCGTCGGTCTGTGGCATGTAGACACAAGAAACTGGACCCCACGACAAAATTTCGCCCCGTACGGAGCTTCGGGGATTCTTGCCGGAGCCGCTAGTTGCTTCTTCTGTTTTGTGGGGTTCGATGTAATCGCCACAGCAGGAGAAGAGACTATCAATCCTCGCAGAAATATTCCTTTGAGTATCGTGTTGTCGTTACTCATCTCATTCTTCTGTTACTTCGGAGTCGCGACTGTCCTCACCATGATGGTGTCCTATAACGACCTCAAACAACAGGCGCCTTTGGCGAACGCGTTTGGCGACCACGCTTTTAAGGTACAGTGGAGTTTTATATTTTTCCAAAAAATAACTTTCCTTTCCAACTGACATAAAATTTTCATGATCACATATAAATTGTTGAGGTTTTGGTCGGAACTAACTAAGAAAGATTAGGAAGAAGTTCGAAGTGTTACCAGGCTCAGGGGGCCAATCGTCACAGTCATCAACTTAGCCATGTCGACTCACGACACTTGTGTGAAAAGAGTCGACGCTCTACAAAAAGGCGTGGGTATTCTCCGAGTACTCGGTCCAGTTTCCTCCCACAGTGAAAGTTGACAGGTGGGTTGGACTCTATGTTAGGCTTAGTCACTAATGACCCTAGTAGTAAAGCCCCCCTATATAGGGACGGAAGTAATTAGTATGCAAACTTAGGTGTCGGAAGTAATTAGTATGCAAGATATATGACGCAACTTTGCTGGCCCTAACCCTAACCCTGGGCCAGGTAGCGCGACCAATTAACGCGGGCAGGCCTGGGCCAACTGTGACAGGTAGCGCGACCA